CCTCGCGATTTTTATTGTGCAAATATCTACTTTTCTATGTCAAATTGATCCATTTCAAAACTTCCAACACCATGGCCCAACATAAATTAATTAGAGATAAGATGGGGGCCTCATGGCATTAATGAAGAAAATGGTCTCATATAAGATGACATCGTGGTAGCCTTCTAATCAGTTAATGCGTTTGTTCACATCGTATTTTGTATTTGCCCATGTATAATTCATTTATACCTTTATATAATTTATTTATTTTTTATAAACAATTCACGAATAACATAAAATTGAGGGTGCGTTTGAACTACATTATTTTGAATAAATGTATTTTGAAATAGTAGATTAATGGAGAATGTGTGGTTAAAAAATAAGAAAAGTTTTGAATTTGAGTATAATATTATTTTATTGTAGAATGTGTGGTTAAAATGATGTTAAATTACTGTTTAAAAATATATATTTTTTTAAAAGAATGCGGTTCAAACATGGCATGAAATTATGTATCAATTAAATTCCTAGCAAGTACCTTTGTTTTATAAACTGCAAGTCTTTTATCTTTCTCATATTAACATCTTGTGGTCGATTTTTATTTTTTTTCTTTTCTTTTCATTTTTTGGGGAAAATTTATTGTGATTTATTGCATTTTGCCTTATCTTCACATGCTTTGATATCAAGACAGGACGCAGAGATGTGAGACATTTTGATTTCTAGTGCGACACCTTCGAGAAAATATAAATATAATAATTGCATAATGCACCAATAATATTAGTTTATTCATGTCATTTTCCAAGTATTTTAATAATATTCGATTTTTATTTTTTTTCTTTTCTTTTCATTTTTTGGGGAAAATTTATTGTGATTTATTGCATTTTGCCTTATCTTCACATGCATTGATATCAAGACAGGACGCAGAGATGTGAGACATTTTGATTTCTAGTGCGACACCTTCGAGAAAATATAAATATAATAATTGCATAATGCACCAATAATATTAGTTTATTCATGTCATTTTCCAAGTCGTTTAATAATAGGATAAAATTGGTTGTACAGCCTACAACCCCCTCACAAAGGAGGGAGTTACGCATTTTTTTATGAGAAGTACTACATGTACATACTTGTCTACATAATAGTGTCCATAATTACACATGGCACTGGATCCAACTTTTAATTCAAATTTTACACTTGCACATCAACAACCGGATGATTGTCACATCACATTATGGACACCATTATGTACAATAATTATGTACAAATAGAATTTTCCTTTTTTTATTGGCACGAGCCCCTCCTTTGTGAGGGAGCTGTAACCCGTGCTGTGTGTCGAGCTCTGACACAGCACGGTTCTTTTCATTGCTCGACACGGAGCACGGTTCTTAATAATTAAAAGAAATCCAAAGCTGCTTATTAAGATCGGTGAATCCTTGGAAGATCCGATTACTCGTATTTTAATACATCATAAAATCAGCAGTAATAGTAAAATGAACGAGGTGGGTTCTAAAAAGAAAACACGAATTATCTGTACAATTAAATTTAGTTTCAGTACATCAGTTGTTGACCGAAAGGGGAGCCTAGATGGGAATGAGGATGCTTAGCGTCGCTTTGATAGCCTCTGTTGGGCATTTTTAAGTGTTCTCAATTTTTTCAACAGTGTTGTATTAATTAAAAATTACCAGTCATTTGCGAGATTTTAATTTTTTTTCGCAAGACATACACCCGTTGAAAATTATTTATTCATTCATGCCCTCACTGATAAAATTACAAATTACAACATTGCCCTTGTGTGTTTTTCTCTCCAAAAAAAATAAAAAATAAAATCGAGGATAGTTTGGAATCAAACAATTTTGCATTAAAAAAAGATTTATTCTATAAGTACATAATAATGTACATAAAAGTGTCCAAAATAGACACCCAGGGGCCCTCCAATGGCGCACAAGCACGCCTCACCCAATGGACACCCTCATAAGTATTTGTAAGTCTTAAAATATTAACTTTTAGATACTTTTATAAAAGTGTTTGGAGTTCTAACTTTTAAACAAAAAATATTCATATAAAATCTCAAGATTTGTCTCTCATTAATCACGAGATTTTGAGGGATTTTCAAAAATAAAAAATAAAAAAATTCAATATCTTTTTCCTTTTTCCTTTTACAAACATGAGATAATTAAAATTTATCTTTTTTCTATTGATTATGTTTATTTCAATTTATTTTTTCCTCTCTTATTATTTCTCTTTATTTTCTATGAAAAAATTAAATTGGATTCTTGTAACTTTTTTTTCTTCTTTCATTCATTTTTTTTGGGTGAAAAAAATATCTATTTTTTATTAATATATGAAACATTATAATCAAATTTAAATATATTTATTTTATTTTGATTATTATTTATTTAATTAAGGCCTTAAGTATTTATTCTTTTTAAAATAATCTTTTATTCTATGAGTAGGGAAAGGGGAAAGAAAATTGTGGAAATTATAACCTTGTGTATTAGAATATCACATTATTGTACTGGATCCACGTGAATTCTATTTTAAATGAAAGTATTTAAAACAAATAAATTTTACAAAAGTCTATAAACGTTTTAAAATGAAAATATATAGAAGTCTACGAAAAACTTCCACTAATTCTATATAAATTTATGAAAAATTCACGAAATCCACAGAAGTCACCACTTTAAAAAAAAAAAAAAAAAGTCCATCAAAATCTTCAAAATTTTAAATTAAATACACCCCCTAGTAGACAAACATCTCATAGTCACTGCGACATGTACATTGTTACACAAGATGCCTACTTGGATTTATTTTGGCACAAGAATTTTGTCTGCTCAAGTTGTTTGAAACACTTTAACTAAAGACTGACTGAAGTAATTAACATTCTAAAATATGACATTTATTTTAATTCGAATATAATCTTCAACAAGTTTCTTTAGGCAAAAGCTAACTTTTATCTCAAAGGTTTGAGACCTGTATTGAAATTCTCATAATGAAAGCTATATTTGATACCACATTGAAATACCTATACGAAAGGTTTAAGTTGGTGGTAGCTGAAGTTTACAACTCAAGTGCACATCTACGAACTGGATTAAATGGAGTTTCTACATAAGAATAATTAATGGACATATTTTTATAATTTCAGGAGCAACAGATCGCCTAATCATTACAAGTACAAGAACTAAAAATGCCGATTATTTCCATGCATTTCATCATCCCCACAAGTCATAAAATTGCAATGACAAATAAATAGCAACAGCTCATAAATAAGGAAGAGGAAGAAACACACGACAACAATGATGGTCGGAAAATGGTTCGTTTTGGTTATCTTTTGTTTTAGTACCATTGTCACCTATGTGAATGCTAGCAAGGTTGCTTGCCATAATCCAATCTAGCCAACATGCAATGGTAGTACACACAATGCCCAGCTGGTTGTCCAACTTTCAGTGTAGTCGATTGCAGAATCTGTAAACCTTACTGCCTTATAAATCCAGTTAGCATTTCATCTTAGAAGTCTTTGCTATTTGATTCAATAGCATTCTGTTATATAGTAACATATTTGATGATAGATCTTTGTTGAATTCCCTCTTCTAAAGAAGAAAGTTCGGTTAGAACTTTCATGTCTTAATTCCACGTACAATACCATTTTTGTATTTGTGTTGTTTCTATCAGGATAAAATTTGAACTTATTGTCCTATGTGTTAACAGGAGAGTGTTTGTTTGTCCCTAATCGGAGTAGAATAGTAAGTCATCCTCTAACGATATGGTAGTGTCTAGCTCTAGGAAAAAAGCACAAAATGATATAGGGAACCTCAAAGAGAAGGGGGAGAGATACCAAAATGGATAAAAATAATTTTCTTCCTATTACTCGAATTTTAGTATCGTTTTTGAGCATTGGTCTTTACCTGAAACATAAACCAAATGTGTGAAAAATAGGCAAAATTGTTCTGGTGTGTATTTTGGAGTTTGAGGGTAAGAAATGATGTTCGATGATATTTTTCCAGATTTCGTGAAAATTGCTGCTCACATAGATCCTTTTGTTATTATTATTCTCTATTTCTATTTTCGTGTTTTTCTTTACAAAGATCACGGGTGAATCAATCATATTTTTTAAACTTTGCTGCCTCAGCTTGTGATAAACCGCAGTGTGTCAAGATTCAAGATTCATTTGAGGTGATGGAATTATGTTCCATTTTCATAGCAAGAGGAATATAGACATTTGCCTAGCGTCTGATGCTCATATCATTGGCAAGAAAAACAAGAAAGGGACATGGGTCCAATCCATTGGTATCTTTTGGCTCTCATCAGGTTTACATTGGTGCAATGAGAATTTTCAAATGGGACAACTCCATGGACAACATGATTAAACGAGAAGAAATCATGGTACCGAATGACAAGGGAAGAACAGGCAGTTGCCCGAAGTAGGATTAAAGTTCTATCAAATCAAAGTAGATGAGATTTTTAATATTGTTGCAACCGGGGTTCCAATTAAAGGAATCATTGATTCATGAATATGATGTAACACAAGAGGACTGTTTTGCTCACTTATAGCTCAATTTCAGGTTTGAATCACTGAGCAGTATGGTAGATGGAGTTTTGGGATAAACCTATAGACCAAAGTTATCAAACTAGAGTCAAAATTTCAGCAGCTAAGCCAATCATGAGAAGAGAACATAAATTTGCATCTCTCATCTTTTTGCTACCGATTTTGCCATATCAAAATTTGGATGATATTGGAAGAACACTGAAGACATGGATGGTATGTGATACAAGACAAGAAGGGTCTTGATTGGAAAATATAATAGACAAGATTCAATTTCTTTTTCTTATTTAATGTTGTCTTCATTACTCGGTTCATCTTACTAAACATGCAATGGGTCATATGTAAAAGGAACTATGGTAGGAATGGAATTGCATGTATTTTACAAGCAATCACTTTAGCTGTCTTTAGTTCAGCTACATGATTTTTTTATTTTTTGTCACTCCGTTCGGTTCTTTTGTATCACACAAGGTACTTAAAAAAAATATTGAAGTTGAGATGTCAAGTGAAGATTAATAAGGATTGTTACTCAGAATCAATGATAATATGAAATCAACATACAAAGAAAAGAACAAGGAAATATTTACCAATAATCTCCACAAGAGCATAACCCACCAGCAAAATGGTGGAATCGTTTTACGTCTCGAATTATTATGACACGATCCTCAGTCAGTGATACAAACTTTGCCATGTTATGGCAATCTCCACAGATCCTCAGGTTCTTAGTTATCACCAGAGGCAAGCCTTCTTCTGTGACTAAAAGACCAAATGCTATGGCCAACTTCTCACTGTGGTTCTTAACCATATCCTCTTTTACACCATCGTCAACATCATGTAGAACGTATTCTGTATTGGGCTTGTAGCCAACATTCTGAATTTTCCTAATAAGTTCTTCCAACTTTATGTATATTCTACTTATCTCAGGGTGTGATCGATCACCCACGACAAACCCATGGATCATGTTTCTGTGTTCAATAAAACTGCATCCTGGGGTTCTAGCAACTTCTCTTTCCTTCATTAGAGCCCTTACCTTTGAAGCATCCTTCCACTGTCTAGCTGCAGCATATATACTTGATAGCATAACATAATTCCTCCGATCAGAAGGGTCTAAGGTGAACAGTCTCTCGGCTACTTCCTTTCCAAGCTCAACATTTTTATTAATCCTACATGCATTAAGAAGAGCCCCCCAAACACCATGATTTGGTTCCATAGGCATCCTCTTAATCAATTCATACGCATCTTTCAAGCATGCTGACCGACCTAAGAGATCTACCATACACGAATAATGATCCAGCCTCGGTTCGACCCCATAAACACTAGACATGATCTCAAAGTATCTCTTCCCCTCCTTTACAAGCCCCGAGTGACTGCAAGCACTAAGCAAATGTGTGAATGTAACATGATCGGGCTTCATACCTATCTTAATCAATTCATCAAAACACATAATTGCTTCTCTACCATAACCATGCATAGCATAGCCTCCAATCATGGCAGTCCATGCAATCCTATCTGGATTTTTCATCTCTCTAAAAAGCGCACACGAAGCATCCAATCTCCCTGACTTGGCATAAACACTCAAGACGGAAGTAGCAATGGTAATATTCTCATCGAGACCAGCACTTAGCATATACCCGTGGATTACTTCAGCTAACTTCATGACACCAATATCCCCACAACCTTGAAGCAAACTCACCATAGTAGCCTGATCTGGCTTAACATCAATCCGTCTCATTACTTTAAAAACTTCCAATGCTTCATTGAACACGCCATGTTGAACTAAAACAATTATAATTGAGTTCCAAGAAACTAGATTTGGCTTTGGCATGGCATCAAATAATTGCCTCGCCATGTCTAGATAACCCAACTTCCCATACATATTGATGAGTGAATTAACCACCTTAATTTCAACTATCAAACCTGTTTTGATTGCTAATCCGTGGATATAATTCCCTTCACAAAAGGCAGCCCTTTCAGTACAAGCTGAAATAATACAAATCAAACTCACTTCATTTGGTTCTAAACCCATTTCAAATCTCATTCTATGGAATGAATTTAAGCAATAATTCAATTCGCCTTTCCGCGAAAAACCAGAAATCAAAGAATTCCAGGAAACCAAATCCTTCTTTGGCATTTCATCAAACAAATTCCATGCATACTCAAAGAACCCCAGTTTTGTATACACAGAAACCAAACGGTCACCAATGAACCCATCTTCGTAATTCAAGGACTTAAATATACGGGCATGAAATGTTTTGCAAGATGATATTGAAGAACTGGAACTTACAGCAGAAATAAGAGACTGAGTATCATAACTAAACAAATTGCACAGTGTTCTTTCCTGGTTTATAGAAGTGAAAATAGAGAATAATTGTTGATTATATATGAATTTGTTCAAACTGAAGAAAGTTCTATTGGAGAAAAATGTCAGTGAAAATTGTGAAACCCCAAATGGTACTCTTAACATTGTCCATTAATTTGCTATAACGAAAATTTAGCTATACGCACTCATTTTATATTTCTTTTGTTACCACCAGAAAATTGATAAAGGAAAATCTATCTTTTTTAATTCATAACAATTATATGGTAAATTGTTTCGATTCATCATGCAGTTAATTTAGAAGTCGAAGATGACCACGATAAATTAAATGAAAGTTTCAACATCAAACAAATCTAAAATAGGTTTTCTCTGGATCAAAGCTACCGTCACCTTATCAATTAATTGACATGTATCTAGGTATAGGAGGTATATTATTGGAGTTTTATCTTATGTGGAGCTCGACAAGCCTTCGAATTTTAGTGTGCAAAGCGATTCGTGGGCTCGACTTATCCCGACTCGAATAATATTTTTTTGAGATGATCAATGGATTTGAGTTCACATTTTTTTTTTTCACGAGTCAAATTCGTACAACTCATAGACACGAGCTGACTTAATTTATATTCTCATTTAAGACTTGTTTTATTAAATTTTTTAAAAACTCTTCATTTTTTGAAAATTGATCTGACTCGTGGACGACTCATCTGAACTCAATTCATGCAGCCCACGAGCCAAAAGACCAAACCTATCATAAGATTGGAGTACAAGCTATGCAGCCCAACTCGATAACTAACGCATTATCACCCCTAGTTATTCCTAGCACAATACAAATTATATTGTACTGCTGATTGACGTTTATGCCCTTGAAAATAAATCAACGAGGAATTCACTGCCATTTACTTTTTTATTAGTTCTTTTCATAAATCAATGAGAAATTCAATGTGTCGAACTTTATGGTAGTGTAGCATGATTGTTTCATAAAGGACCTTAAGTGACAATAAATTAAAATGTTGGAGATGAAAATGCTCCTTTCAGAACAACGGTGATGATTGCGACCTTTTAAAAATTGAATATTAAGTTTTGACATGGTACCAAAGATCATTAAATTTCAACAAATAATTCGATTCGATTAAAATAAAAAAAAACACATGAATTTTTAAATTGATCTGCTCAAACAAGCCACCATCTTATGTGGACATATTAAAAGATAATTCACATTAATTAAATATCGAAATAGAGAATAACATATAAGAGTTTGAACTACTACGATTAACATGATTAATATTTTAAGCTGGAATCCCAAGTATAGCATGAATCACAATATGGTTAATAGGGCAAACTCTGCCAAGAATAGAATGAGGAAATAAAGCCCCTATTTTGTGGGGATTAAAATCAGATTTTTAGTAAATTTTGATAAAAATTGTTGAAATGTGGTTAAAAATTGTGAATTTTATTAAATGTGTGATTAAAATTAATTATTAATTTTGATTTAAATTTAAATTTAAATTTAAATTTAAATTTAAGTTTTATTTCGTAACAAACAAGGACTAAGTATCACAATATGCACCTAGCTAGGTTATAACATGTCCCAGCCGCCCAGAAAAACCTGCAGAATATATCTACCAAAAGTTGTACGAATAGATATGATGAACAAATCAGATTGCTATTACTTCTCAAACTGGTTCAACTTCGTATCAACCTATGTATCTAAAAAGAATCCCATCAGACATAGCTTATTGGCTAATGACAGCCTTTTAATTAACTACACTTTGGTCTTTGAACACCCCACACCCCCACGCAGGGCGGTGTCGGGATGGAGTAATTTCACCTGTGCAAATTATTAATTATCTTTAGCCTTTCAAATTAGAGAGAGAGAGAGAGAGAGGCACAGAGACTGAGAGACTTGAAGAGGGTTAGTTTGGTTGGTAAGAAGATGCCAAACCCTTTGCATAACCGCAGCGTACATAATCTCACACGCGTCCCAATTAAGCTCAGATTTTGGTAAGAGTTAAGGCTCCTTAATTACACACTTTGAACCATTTTATCTTTATATACAGAGTTGCAGTTCTTGCAATTTCTCACTTCAGTTTATGCTCATTTTCTTTTCCTTTTTCACTTCTTGATTTTCTGGTGAATTTTCAGACGTGTTCATGTCTTCCGAGGCGATTGTACCCGTTGGAAATGGCGTAAAGGGATACCCTTTTTCGGTGCCATTGGCCACCCATGAAGATGTTGTCAAGGATCCAACTCTCTTTTCAAGCACCCTCCGGACCTTCCATTCTGCTATGGGTACAAAATTTATGTACGTATAGGCTTCAACCATTTTCTTCTTCTTTAATTGCGTGTTTGGTACGCAAAATTAGAGACCGGCTCAATAAATAAATATTTATATTTATTCATTATTTGTACCATCGAGAGCTATTATACATGCAGCGTGATTTACTATACAAAATTTTGCTGCCATTTTTGCTGCAATTTTATTGTTCATAAGGTTTGTTAATTTTGATGTAAGGATTCCTGTGATTGGAGGGAAGGATTTGAATCTGCATGTGTTATATGTTGAGGTTACGAAGAGGGGTGGTTACGACCAGGTTGGTGATAATTTTAATATTTTTTCTTTCTTAAAAGTCACAAACTTTTTTTTTCCTATTCATAATTTATTAATTTTTGCTCCAATTTTTGCTTAAAAAAGGTTGTCACAGACAAGAAATGGAGGGAAATCAGCGTCTTCTTTGACTTCTCTCCAACAACTACGAGCGCATCTTATGCTTTGAGGAAACATTATTTCACTTTGCTTTTCGGTTATGAACAGGCTTATTTCTTTAGACATCATCGTCCAGTTGTTGATCCAACAGGCATATAATCATTATTTTTTACCATTTTTACCAACAGGATTAAAAATGATTCTGTTTGATAAAAAAATTTATTTATGAAATCTATGTTCACTTATTTCAAATTGAAGTGATTAGTTTTGATAGTGAATTCTTTGTAAACCTAATTTGAACATGATATTGTTACATTTTTGTTTCTTAGGGCATTCCTCCTTCCAAGCCATTGGAACAATTGAAGGAAAATTCGACTGCGGGTACCTGATATCTGTAAAACATGGTGAAGAAATTCTCAGTGGTGTGCTTTACCATCCAGGCTCCTCTTCAATATCCATGCAGCATTGCAATACTGTAACACCTCACACCACACAGGTTCATGATGAGCATGGAAAGGGGAGACGGAGGCGGCGGAGGAGGAGGAGGCGGGGAGGAGATCCCAGCAGGCCGAAGCCTAATCGGAGTGGCTATAACTTCTTCTTTGCAGAAAAGCATTCCATTCTTAAATCTCTCCATCCAAATAGAGAGAGGGAGTTCACAAAGATGATCGCTGAATCATGGAACAAGCTCACTTCCGAAGAGAGAATAGTAAGTTCATTAATCTAAGATCTCATCCGTGTTTCAGTTAAGATCCTGGTAGACTATAAATTGCTAGACAGTATTAGAAACACGAAAAGCAAAAATCTTGTCTATAATACAGTGAAGGCCTGTTCGGTAGCATCTTTCCCAACATACGCTAAAAAGTATATAGATTTAAACTTTGAATTTCTCTAATTTTGATGATGTTTCATATTATTAGGTTTACCAAAACCATGGTTTAAAGGACAGGGAGAGGTACCACAAGGAAATGGTGGAGTACAAGGAGAGAATGAAGATTGAGTAGAAGATGATAGAAGCAACAACTCCCAAATGTGGATTGTCTTTGAAAACCTATGAATCATGTGGAGTTCTTCCATATTTGCTCTGGGGATACAAGTTTGCCCATTGTTCATTGCAATCACATTTCCTTTTTAACTCTTTTAGAGTGAGATGAATTTAAAGTTAATTTTCGAAAATTGCATGGATCTTAGCCGGCTCAAAATTTATCGAAAATAACTTTATTTGTTGCTTCGATGTTAACGGTGTTAACATCGCCCAAACTATATGGATGAGATAGTTGAACTGACTCCATTTTTTGACTAAGCAAACCAAACAATGCATGGGGCACAGCAGGGCTTGGGGCCAAGGTCTGTGCGAGGATTGTGTGCCAGGGTATGAGAGAAGTCGAGGAAGAAGAGTTGTTCAGGGCTTGTTTGGATAAGCATAGAATTAAGGGAAACATTCCTAAACCTTACTTACTAATCAACTTATTTTACATTAAGTCAGAAATTTGGTCATAAGTAACTGGCTTGTTTTTAATTTTGATCAATTAAAATAATACTTCAAGACTAATCTATTACTCGCAAGTTTTTTAAGCTTAGCCAAATATGCTCATTCATAAACAAATTTGCACCAGTACAACACATAAGAGACCGAATCAGAATGTACTAAACAGTGAGATCAAAATTTCAATGCATGTCCAAATAAGTTTCACGATGGATAAAAATCATTTCTTTTTGGTTGAGAAGTTCCATACCAGAAAACAGAGTAAAAAGAAGAGCGAAAGAGCCGTGCAATGGCAATACAACTATTCTACCATACGGTCCTCTGCTTGCTTCTGGGAAACCTTTGGCAATGTGAGGGAGGGCTCTTTTTGGAGAGCAGCAGGAGCTTTGACCATGTGAATGCTCTGTTCCAGTTCCTTTGCAGCTTCTTTCCACACTTGGGCCTTCTTTCCCTTCATCCTGTCCATTTTGTAAAATGGAATGCAAATAATAATTATTTGATTAAGATTGGAAATAAGTAAGTTCCATACACAGAGTAAGATAGAATGATACTTGAAATAATAAACCTTTTTACTAGAAATTAAGAAAAACCGTAATCTATCCCAAGATGCTTATAAACAAGAAGTTACTTATAGGAACCTTTTAAAAAAATAAAATAATAAAATAAAAATAAAAAAATTAGCCAAACATGCTCTATCAAGACACAGCAGAAAGGAAGAACCTCTTTGCATGGTGTCGGGCATCCCTGTCCACTCTGACTTTATCAATTTTCTTAATGGCCTTGAGAGTCTCCTCTGCCACAACCCTATCATATCTCTCTGGCCTATTTCGTTTCCTCTCAAATTCAAATGTTGAATCCTTCGCGATTTAACAACAGCAAGAGAGGAAATGACAACCAAAATAAATGGAGCTTGAAACAATTTAGTTGAGGAGAGAGAACCATCAGAATAAAGGTGCTTGTAATAACTACCTGAGTCATGTCCTTCCCATGCACCCGTCTGTAAGCCTTAGTCCATTTTACCTTGCGAGGGTTTCTCTTCATCTTGAAGTTTTTATGGCACTTAGATCGACAAAACCGAAAGATCTGGAAAAACAAATTTCTGGAACTTATGCACCTATATTGCATTTATAATAAAAGAGAGAGAGTATCATAAAACTCAAAAAACCAGCTACAAAATTAGGTTTCATACTAGAAACCTGCTCGAAGTTATACTCAGAAAAAATGCATGGAAGTGAAAATCAGACCAACAAGGCCACTGATTACTTTTCAAAGTACACCCTGACAAGATGTGACCAACATACACCTACTTGGAACAAACTTCAGAATATTCAACAAGAGCTCTTATGATAATTAATAGCATAATTCCAATTCACCCATGAAAAAAAAAATTTAAATACAAGTGCATCGAAGCTTGAATAAGTTGGACTAAAGTTACCAAAGATTAATATTACATTTTAGACATTCCCAAGCCCAGATAAAGGAGGAAGAGTGCAGTAGAATTATGTACTCTTACATACA